GTGTTTTTTATGTCTTTTTAGATTAATTCTGATAGATAAATAAGACATAGATTTGATATTAAATTTATTGAAGTATTTTTCCTGCCCCTTGAGATCGGGAATTTTTCCACCGAAGAACAAATGTTGATCTCCAAGGGTAAATCCCTTTTATAAAACCAGTTTTTATCTTACATTCTCTTTTATTATGTTTTTTATTTTTTTTATACAATATTTCTTATTTATAAATATATTTTTCTTTTTTAAAAACCAAAAAAAAAAATTGGGGGGTTTTTTGTGGGCTGGAATGGTTTAAGGGCATTTCAGTTAATTTCAAGGAGGAAAATTGATTTGATATACAATTAACATAACGAAAAACGGATCAATCACAAAACCACAGAGGGAAAATTCCTAGGTACCACCTTGACAGTACCCTTAAATTTCCCAGACCACAACAACAAATCACCAAAAAAACCCCCAGACTGTAGGCATACTATCAAAGAAAGATATACATTCCAAAATCAGTTCTCCTCGCACTGTACCATTAAACTCATTACCTTTTATCTTACATATAAAATTTTGTGCATGGGGATCAACAAATCCAATCACCAAAACCCCAATAACCCCAAAAAAGGGCACAGTAAAATGATAAAAAATTCCCACTCCCCCCGGCATACTCCACCAATTTTAAAAAAGTTGAATTGCTCACCGTTAAAACATCCATACTTATTCATGTCCCTACTACATACACAGAACAATCACGAAAAATATAAACCCCCCACTCAAACTTCCCCCTCCCAACCTAACAGGACACATGACCACAACACAAAACACAGGTCACTTTTGATTTTCCTCGTGTCCAACACACCTGTGAAAAACTCTATCACTAAAGGCCCCCCAAAAATGGAATTATTACCAAAGATATTAAAGTAACCCCGTCTAAAAATAAATTTAGGACTCTTCTCAAAACCACTTAACACCCTAGACTAAATGCTAATACTAAGGACACACATACTTAATTCTCCCCCTAAACTTCAACAAAACACTTTGAAACTTTTTTTCCACTTTTTGACGGAAATAATTGAATCATTGTTTTCATAAAAAAACATTTTTGAAAAGATGAATTATTTTTGTTTATACAAATTTGATTCATTATAATTAATTATAAGTTTAAAAGAAAAAATTACTATCCTATGACAACTTGATATAATCCCTTTGTGTTAAGTGTCTGTAACCAAAAATTTAAGTTGGCCCATAATGCCTAGGGAAATAGAGGCTCTCTTTGCATTGCAACCACTATTTAAATCCCAAAAAATCAATGTATGCTTGCAAAATATAAAATAAATAAAATAAAAAAAAAATAAATAAAAACAGTGGGCCCCTGAGTTTCATCGGCATTGTTTTTGAATCCAAATTTCGCAAGTTTTTTTAGCAAAATTTAGCCCCCGTTTGTGAATTTGGGCTCGTGATTGGAGCCGTCCCGGTACCTGTCCACCCAACACCGTACACAAAAAAACCCTCTCCTCACCCTTCAATCAGTGTGCCATTTTTTCCCCGCACACCCCCACCCAGTGGGGTTTATACAATAATTTCATAATACAGTGGACCCCCGCATAACGATATTTAAACCGTTTCCCGGAGCTCATTTTTATGCGAAAATTTTTTCGTTTTGCGAATGAATTTTTCCCCAAAGAAATAATGGAAATCAAATTAAACCGTGCAAGACACCCCAAAGTATGAAAAAAAAATTTTTTTCCCCATGAAATATTAATTTTAATACACCAAAATGAAAAAAACATGCACGTTAAATGACACTTACCTTTATTGAAGATCTGGTGATGATTGATGGGGGGGGGAGGGAGAGTCTTAGTTTTAGAAGGGGAACCCCTTCCATTAAGACTTGAGGTGTCAAATCCTTTTCCGGGTTACTTCCCTTTTTCTTTAATGCCCCTAGGACCAGCCCCTTCAGAAATCACTGGATTCTGTCGCACAAAAATTTTTGTCCAAGAGGCCTTACCTCCCTTCCTTTATACTTTCCCACGTGGTTCCAACATTGCAGTGTAATAGTCTCCAGCAAAAGGGTTGCAAAGTGTGTTAGGGTGATTGTCCCATAAAAAAATTTGCAAAATTTAAACCACATTGACATATTTCCTTAATTTTGAAATCGCAACTTCTCAATTTCTCTCTCCCCTCCTCCGAACCATTTCCTCAGGTGTGACCCCCTGCTGAGAAGAGAAAGTAGCAGCTCATATGGGTTGTTCTCATTGTCCCCTCCCCAACTCTTCCACATCACCCCCCCAAACATTTTCCCATGCCACAATGGATTCCTCAACTGGCATAGGATTCCCAGGGTTAGCCTCAAACCCTTCAAAATCCCTTTGGTCTACACATTCTGGCCACAGTTTCTTCCAAGCAGAGTTCAAGGTCCTCTTAGTCACTCCCTCCCAAGCCTTACCTATAAGGTTTACACAATTGAGGATATTAAAGTGATCTCTCCAAAACTCTCTTAGAGTCAGTTGAGTTTCTGAGGTCACTACAAAGCACCTTTCAAACAGAGCTTTTGTGTACAGTTTTTTGAAGTTTGCAATAACCTGCTGGTCCATGGGCTGCAGGAGAGGAGTGGTATTAGGAGGCAAAAACTTCACTTTAATGAAGCTCATGTCCCCAGAAAGTCGCTCTGCTAAGTCTGTAGGATGACCAGGGGCATTGTCTAACACCAGGAGGCACTTAAGGTCAAATTCCTTTTCAGTTAGGTAATTTTTCACATTGGGGGCAAATGCTTGGTGTAACCAGTCATAGAAAAAGTCCCTAGTGATCCATGCCTTATTGTTTGCCCTCCACAGCACACACAAATTAGCCTTGAGGATATTCTTTTGCCTGAACGCTCTGGGAGTTTCAGAGTGATACGCTAATAAAGGCTTCATTTTGCAATCACCACTAGCATTGGCACACATGAGAAGAGTAAGCCTGTCTTTCATAGGCTTATGTCCTGGGAGTGCCTTTTCCTCCTGAGTAATGTAGGCCCTGCTTGGCATTTTCTTCCAAAACAGGCCTGTTTTGTCACAATTAAACACTTGTTCAAGTTTAAATTCTTCACTGTCTATGTACTCCTTGAATTCATGCACATATTTTTCAGCTGCTTTGTGGTCCGAACTGGCAGCCTCACCATGCCTTATCACACTATGTATGCCACTACGCTTCTTAAATCTCTCAAACCAACCTTTGCTGGCCTTAAATTCACTCACATCATCACTAGTTGCAGGCATTTTTTTCTTAGTTAATCTTAAGTTAATTTTAAGCCAGCCCGTAATGCTATGCATAGTATAAGTGGCTTTGGCATACTGCTCTTACCTGTATTTGTTGTACCTCTGTATGTGTGCTCAAATTTTTAAATAAATAAATAAATAAATAAATAAATTAAATCCTCATGCAACTTCCTAGCCTTTTCACTTATGATCACTTGAGAGATGCTATCTCCTGCTATCTGTTTTTCATTTACCCACACTAATAAGAGTCTCTCAACATCTTCTATCACTTGCGATCTCTGTTTCGAAAACACAGTTGAACCTTTGGCAAGAACAGCTTCCTTGATTGCTGTTTTCTTGGACACAATAGTAGCGATGGTTGATTGGGGTTTACTATACAACCTGGCCAGCTCGGAGACACGCACTCTACTTTCATACTTAGCAATGATCTCTTTCTTCATCTCTATAGTAATTCTCACCCTTATTCCAGTAGGGTTGGCACTAGAAGCTTTCTTGGGGCCCATGGTCACTTATTTTGCAGATAAAATCACCAAAAACACTGTAATAATACGAAATGTTCCGATTGTATGCGTGGATGTTACCGCGGAGGCTGGCTGGTAAACAATACCACCGGCGGAACATGTGAGGCTGGCTCAGGCCGCACATTAAACGCGTCTCGGACGAATAGCGTTGAGTGGGTTTTTTAGCGGTATGCGAGGCAAAATCTTAGCGATAAAATGTATCGATATGCGGATTTAACGTTATGTGATGCCAACGGTATGCGGGGGTCCACTGTAATCCATTGTTTTTTTGTGCTTGCAACTGCTAAATAAGTCACCAAGGCCCAAGGAAAGCTAATGCAAGCCCTTTGGTAAAGAAGGCGAGGAACACGATCGAATTCAAGAAGGAAATCATTGAAAAATATGAGAGCGGAGTGCGTGTTACAGAACTTGCCAGGATGTATGGCAAACCCTATTCAACCATCACTTCGATCGTGGTGCAGGGAAAGTAAATAAAGTTTGCTGTTGTTGCAAAAGGGGTAGATATGCTGACAAAAGGAGATCACAAATCCTCAAAGAAGTGGAAAGGTTATTGTTGGTGTGGATTACCTAAAAACAGTTAGCAGGAGATAGTATTATGCAGTCGATAATATGGGAAAAGATTCTCTATCATTTCATAAGAATTTTTTTTTTTTTTTTTTCGAAAAATTTCCAACCCTGAGAACAAGTTTAGTCTCGAGAGGGCCTGCCGACCCTGAAAGGGTTAATGGGTTAAAACATTCAGAGAGATGCAGAGTGCACAAAGGCTGTAAACAGACTGAAGAAAATATCGCCAGATTCTCAACTGTAGTGCAAGTCAGGCTGAAAAAATGCCAGAATAGCAGAACCCACACCGAATAAATAAAAAATGGGTATAAATGATAACCGCTGCACAATCTATGCAAACAGTCAAAGTCATGAATCAATGGACCTTTCCATTTTGTCCATTGGGTATCTGGCCAAATTGTTTGTCTGTTAAATCTGCAGTCCATTAAATCAAAGCTATATTTTATTATTATTATTATTATTTTCTATATTACTAATCATACAGAGTACTAAACTTACATAGAATCATTCAGTGCAGGTAGAGGTTAAGGCTCAATCCTCTGTTCACTAATAGAGACACAGACACCCTACCTAATTGTGCTCACCTGGCTGGAGTGGCTCAGAACAATTGTTTTACTTCCTTTGTAAAGACTTACACTCTCATCACTAATTCAGAGTGAGTAGCACTAGTTACCTTAAGGTTGTAATCTGCTTCCAAGTAGTTACTATCATCAAGACAACCAACACCCACTTTTAGAATTGCTTTGTCTTCCAAAAAATTCTGAAAATATGAAATAAGTCACAGATTACTCTTCTTTAAGAGGTAATTCACCACTAATTTCCTGAAAATATAGATGATGATGATATTTTAACTGTCAAGCATTGCTACAAACATAAAAAAAAAAATCAACAGCTCAGAGTGATAATTTATTAAATCCAGTCTTTCTCTGGGAAACACAGGCATGGATACTGTATATTTTACTCCCTGCTTGATATTAGACACATAGAAAATTTTTTTTTTTTTTTTAGATAGTATATAGATACTGCCAAGTGAGTTAAAACGGAAGCCTGTATTTGTTTTACATGATGGTATAATTGCTGGTATCTTTTTTCTGTCTCATAAACATGCAAAATTTCAGGTATGTCTTGCTACTTCTACTTAAACTTAGCACACTACACATGCATGTACACATTTATGTATACACACTCATCTGAGTTTTCTTTATCTTAACAGTTCTTGTTCTTATTACTTTTCCTTTCAAATCCATGAGGAAGTGGAATAAGAATCTTTCTTCAGTAAACCATACGTGTTGTAAAAGTCAACTAAAATGCCGGAAACAATGGGCTAGTAACTCCTTATCCTGTATAACTTACTAAAAATAAAAAAAAGAAAACCGAAAAAGTGGGTGTTTAAATGTGCGTGGAGTAGTGCGAATGATAAGGAGAGATGATGGGTGTTATGAATGAAAAAAGTGTATGCCCTGGCTCTAATGAAACAAAGTGAAGGGGGTTAGGAGATTTTCCGTGGGGAGAAAAAATGGGATTAGGTGGGGGTTCTAATACAGTTGAGCTAAGGAAAGGAGAATCAATAATTTTGAGGATAAGTTTTGGCGGGGAAAGAAGATGTAAAAAGGGGTTTTAATAAGTTTTATGACTGGGAGGAGTTGGGGAAAAGATTTTTTGGGAAATGTTCGTTTTGGGGGGGAGTTTTAAACAAGTGAGGAGTATTGTGGTTGGGTCTCAATTTTAAAGTGGGTAAAAATTTTGGGAGAGGGAGTATTTAGGTAAATTTGGGGTGCCAGGGGGTAATGAAAAGGGGGGGAGCAAAAATTTAAAACTATGGTAGAAAGGTTTGGTAATAAGAAATACTTTTTTATGAAAACAGGTAAATAAGACCAAGAAGATTAGCAGTAATAAAAGTGTTTGTCAGATTATGTTTTGGTGGAAAAAAGGGTTGATGGGTAGGCTTCGGATGTACAGTTTATAGAGGGGCAATGGTACAAGATCATTATCTAGTTGTATCTACATTTTAGAGTAAGAGGTAGAGGGTACAAAGGAAAATGGCAACAATAAGAAAGAGAGGGTAAAAATTTTATAAACAAAGGGAGGAAGAAGTTAGGGTGGATAAAGCAACATTAGCAAAAAAAATGGCCAAGGCAAGTATATTTTGTGAGGGAAGGGTTGTAGTATCATTTCCCGAATGTAGAGCAGAAGTTTGTGGCTACAGGAGGGGGTGCAGGGGAAAGAAAAGTGATTGGGGGAAATTTGTGAGGTAAAGGTGAATAAAAGAGAAAAAGGTAGCTTAGGAGGGTTTTTAAAAAGCAGAAGTGATATAAAAGGGAAAAGATATGAGAGTAAAAAAAAGGTAAGGGAGGGGTTTAGAGAGTGCAAAAGGAGAGCAAATGTATGGGAGGGGCCCTGTTGAAATTTTGCTGGAAAAAGAAAAAAATTTGGAGAAAAAAACATTACAAACCCCTAGAGAAAAAAGGGATTTGTCAGTTAAAAACAGGTGGGGGAGTAATAAGGGGGGAGTTGGGGGGCATTGGGTGATGGGGGGAAATTTTATAAAATGTAATAAAAAAAAAGGGGGGCAGTAATTTCATGAATTCCCCAAGGGGGTATAACATTTTTAGGAGGAAGAAGAGCAAGATGTGAGTATGGGGGGGGCATTGGGTTTGTGTAGAAGAAAGGTGGTAAAGAGCGGGAAACTGGCAGGATCTGACAGAAATGTTGAAAGCGGGGGGATATGTGGAGGGGTTGGTTTTTTTGGGTGTAAAAAATGTAAGAAAAAAGGGGAAAGGTCCCTGGGGATTGGCGAGAGATGTGTAGCCCCTTTATATAAAGGGAAGGGAGACAAAAGAGACTATAAAAATTATGGGGTTAAGTTTATAATTTATATATTTTATTATATGTTTTTATTTTTAGATGGGGTTGTAAGAGAAGTAAATGCGAGGGTCTTGACAAGGGGGGGGGTTAAAAAGAAAAGAATCAACACAAAGGGGATTTTGTCACAGCCTCTTTGCTGTGCATGTGCCTTGGGAGATTCTAAGAGAAGTTGCAGAGATTGGGGGATGAATTTTGGGTAGGGGTCCCAAAAGAAAAAAATTAAAGGTGAATACAGGAAAGAGTGGGTTTTGAGGTAACAAAAAGTTGGGTATAAAAGTTGAATATCAGATTGGAGGGGAGAGTATGGGGGAGGTGATGTATTCAGATTTTTGGGAGTGGACGGTCAGGGGATGGGTCTATAAAAGTGAGGTAAATAAAAATTTGAGAGGGAAAAAAGAGTGAGTGGTGCACTTAGGGTCTGTGGAGCAAGAACTTTGTCCTTGGGGGCAAAGGGGGGAAGATGAGAGTATAGTTTTCCCAACGCTTTTATATGGGGTGAAGCTGGGTGATGAATTTGCGGGGGAGGAAAAGGCTGGAGGCATGGAGATGTCATGTCGAGGGAAATGTGTGGTTGAAATAATGCAGGGAATTGTTTTTGGGAAAGTTGGGAGGGAGGGCAGGTTCCCCAAAACGTTGTCCAGAGGGCTGAGGAAGGGTTTTTGAGGTGGTTCGGCTGTAGAGAAAATGGAGGAACAGAATGACTTAAGGTGTATCAGTCTGTAGTGGAAGGAAGGGGGGGTGGGGGTCGCCTGGGAAAGGTTGGAAAAGGGGGGGGGTAAAAGGGGTTTGTGTGCGAGGGGCTTGGACTTCCGAGGTATGCATGAGCGTGTTTGATAGGAGTGAATGGAAAAAAATTTTTTTAAATACTTGACGTGCTGTTGGAGTGTGAGCAAAGTAACATTTTAAAAGGGGGGTTCGGGGAAACGCAGGCCGGATTTGAGTCCTGGAGATGGGAATTTTACATGCCTGCATCTGAAGGAGGGGGGTTTTAAATGTTGCAGTTTAAAACGTAGTGAAAGCCCCCTTTCTGGAAAAGACTGATGGAGTGAATGTGGTGAAGTTTTTCTTTTTCGGGCCCCCTGCCTTGGGGGAAATCGGGTGTAAAAAAATAAAAAAAAAATAAGTTTTACTGAGTTTACCGGGGTAAGTGTAGGGTAGGCTTTTTTAAAAGGTTAAAGGTAAGACAGATAGAAGATTTCAGGCTTTAGAAGGATAGGAGATGTGTAGATCAAGTGTTTACATTAAAGCATTGTTTTGAACAGTTTTAGCCCTTTCGGGGGTCCAAGGCCCCAATTAAAGTGGTCCCCCAGTGTCCAAGAATTTCAAAAAAAAAATTTTTTTTTTCTTATAAAATCTTTTAGAAAATCTTTTTGTAAAGGTAAAAAAACAAAAAGTACAAAATTTGGTGGAAAATTGACAAAAATTTGCTCTCGCAAATTTTGATGTGTCGCGATTTTTAGAACGGCGATTTGCCGACTTTGACCCCCTTTTTAGGCCAATTACAAAATTTCCCAATCAACCAAATTCTTAGCTTTTTCACTGTATTACTTCTATTCTATCGATTGAGCACAAGAAATCCCCAAGTCAACTGTTTCAACTACAAAATAAATGATCGGAAATTGTTAAATTTGGCCAATTTAAACAAAGTTAAAATTTCCCAAAATTTAAAAATGGCCCCAGAATAAACATGTAGGAAACCTGGAAAAAACTAACTTTCCTCGTTCATTGTTACATTTTGAGGTTTACAATAAATTCCTTTTTGATTTTTTATTCCATAAGAATTTTTATTCACACCAAAAAAAAAAAGTTTTCGTTTTGCAAGCTGTAATAAGTTAAATTTCTCACCATATTTGTAAATGTTTTTAGACCCACAGCTGAGTGTATTAGATGTTGAGGTGTTGTTTACTCTTAAAATTGGGAAAAATTTAACATTTCCCGCTACTTTTGGTCAATTCAAGCCTTTTCCCAGTGCTAAAACCAATAAAATCATTCTTTTCTGTAAATGTCTTCCATTTATCAAGGACCAAGAAATCGAAATACAACTATAAAAAAACATACAAAAAAAAACACTAAAATTTGGTTTTAATCGAAAATCATGATTTCGTTTTTTTCTCTCTTATACATAGTGTGCTGAGGATTGTTTTTTGTGGTGCAACATACCACATAGATGTATTCCCCATATTAGGCCCAAAATGTACCCTCCAGTTTATCAGAGTGAGTGAGTCATGGGTGATCTAGGGTTTTGGGACCCTGAAGTAAACCCGTAGATCTAGGGAGGCCCTGAAAGGGTTAGATAAAGGTGGGAATTTTCATTGCTTTATGATTTAAAAAGGCATATGAAGAGTGGTTGGGGAGCAATGTGGCAGATATGCAAGGTAGGAAATGTAGTAAGTTCCAAATGCTGTAAAGGTTTTTATGGAATAGTGAGCTTGGTTAGGGTGTTGGGGGAAGGGGGAAAAGATACTTTCCCGTAAAAGTAGGTCTTTGACGGGCTGTGTAATGTCCTATGGTTGTTTAAAAAATTTATAGATGGGGTTTTTGAAGGAGGTAAATACGGGTGTTGGGGGAAAAAGGGGGTGGGATTAATTAGGGGAACAAAAAAAAAAAGGGGTTGACGTTATTTTTGTGATATACTATGCTTTTGGGGGCTTAAAAAAAAAGTTGAAAGTAAAGTACAAGTTTGGGAGGCATGTAAAGGTTGAAAGTTGAAAATGAACATGATAAGGTAAAAGGTAATGAGGGTATCAAACGTTTTGATAAAGAAAAAAAGGAATCAATTTGGAGGGGGAAGTATGGAAGAAGGAACTTTGTTCACCCTTTCTTAATTTGCCCTACATATTTTCCCTTTTTTAGCTTTAAAATACTTAGTTCATTTTTGACATTTGTTAAAATAAT